GAGATGGCTTTTTGAGTAAAGGTTTAACTGCAGCCAGCTTGAAGGCCTGTGGTACATAGCCGATTATTAGAGATAGGTTGATCATATTTAAGATTGAAGCATTAATTAAAGGCAGGACTTCTTTGAGCAGTTTTGTAGGAATGGGGTCTAAAAGAAATGTTGATGGTTTGGAGGAAGTAATTATTGAAGTTAACTCAGAAAGGTTTAGTAATAAGTGAATAAGAGTAAATGTTCATTAGGAAACATCTGTTAAACATGTTGACAGCACTAAACATGAGACATTGTGTTTCCAGTATCGACTAACAGTACAACAGTAAGTGATATGACAAAGCTGTGCACTAACACTCTAACCAGTGTAACCCTGTTAGTCATATTAGCAACAAAAGACAAATTACTTTCAAATTGTCTTTCCTGTTTATAAAACCACATTTATCCTGTGTTGTACTATACATATTAAACAAATATGTTTTAAATACATATAAAAATTAGTAAACATTTCTGTAATCCTGAATATTTGTCACATTTATCATACAGTATACAGCCAAAAGTAATGAATTCCTTTAACCTGCTATCATGTGTAATCCTGTGACTCTGACTTTAACCCTGTTATAATGTAATTTTTAATCAATTAATCATAAATGGTTTGATTAGCTGAGTTGGGTTTAATATATTGCCTCTGTATTAGTTTGCCATTACAGTATATTAATACTGTATTTGAGCAAATATTTGAAAATAAACTGGTATTACAGCAAAAACAAAAATGTTACAAGTGAAATGTTGAACAAAAATTCTAAAGCTGCTTAAACTAATGTCTGTTAAGTCAAGAATTTATGAAACAATAATTTAAAAACTTACTTTTTCAGGTTGGAGAGTATGGGTAATAGGGTTGTGACAAACATAGCACAGTAAAAGAAAACGTGAAACTTATAGGGAACAGGTCAGGAGAAAGGTACAGTAGTGAGTGTGTACAGTAATCTGTAAAACACTGTCATGGATTGGCCTCCCCAGAGCCCAGACCCACAACATTACTGAAGCAGTTTGGGATAACTTTGACAGAACAGAACAAAAGTCAGTCAAAATCCAAAAAGCTTTGGAATGTCATTCAAGAAGCCTCTTAAAGACCGCTACCAACAGACTGCTACTTTTAGCTACTCCCTTATGTATAAGGAGTTACTACAGCTCTGTGTGATTTGGGAGTTTTATTTTGCCAGATGCCCTTCATGAAGACTACTTGAAGAAATTACAGGAAAAGAATGACATGAAAAGTTTCTTAAAGAGTTCAGGCTGTGTTGAAGAACAATGGGTAGCTCTGAACATTTGATTGGTTTTCTGTCAGTTTATTATGTTCTTTGTGACGTAATACCAGACTGATTTGGCTACATCATGGCAACACCGAAGGTGGTCATATAAAATATTGACTTTACATTTTTTATTATTATTATTATTTTTTGAATTGTACAACTGTGGTTTTGCCTTATGTTTTGTATTTCCATGCATGTTTGCATATTTAACTGAATCACATTTTCCTAGTGAAAGATAAAGAGATGGGGACTGGCTCAAGACTTATATTACTGTATGCTGATTGCATTGATCCACATATAGTGTAAAGTTTGATACAGTATATACTGCCATTTGCCAGCATTAAATAATCCTCCATGTTTCTAGTTTGAAATGAAACGTGACCTCATTGGAAAAACAACATAAAATTTTGTGCCCCCAAGTCTGCCCTCCTAAAGATTGCATTCGGCTCCATTTTCCTGCGTAGAGCGATCTAGAGACAATAAATAAACTGCACAAGGGTTAAAGGGGTTTGGGGCAAATGTGGGGTAATGCCAAACCTACCAAATAGATCCAATATGAAGCTCATATGTTCGTACAACAAACAGGATGATAGCGAACAGCAACCATGTTGCGTAACACAGGTTTACTGTGTATTTATTTATTTATTTATAGATGGGAATGACCTGACCCTTATCTGGTCTGACCCCTTGGTCCCACATGAACACGCTCGTCTCACATAGTAACTATAATCTTATTGAGAGGTCTTCTGAAAGAATATTGAGTTAAATGCTTCAGTGCTGCAGAGCTCCACTATTTTAACCAAACATGGAGCTTTGAGAAAACGCATGCGTGCACACACACAAGAACACAGAGAAAAATCATCTTTGATAGCACAACTGTATTTGTGATTCCACCTAAGAAGGGTTAAGTGAATTAAACTGACAGAGACTGGTCTTATTTTATTTTTATTTCATTTTTTTTAATATTTCAAGATGAACTAAAACAAAATGTTGCAAAAATTTATTACTGAGAGACGGAGAGACAGATGACTAGATCAAAGGAAAAAGAAAGGGAAAGAAGACTGACTCTCACGGACAGCATTCCTCACTCATGACTGTATAAGGAGAAGGAGTCAGGCATCATAAGACCACGCTAACACACACACACTGGCCCTCCCCTCCCTCTGTTATTTCTATACTGTTAGTCAAGTGCTTAGTGAGGCAGCTCATTCAGTCCCTTTAATTTATTTTGACTTCAGAGGAATTTTTTCATGACAGTGTGGAATTGAAAGACTTTTGTTGTGCAGTCATTTTAATGTAAAACTTTGATGTGAGACATCCTGTTTGTGTGACGTGTTAAACTGCCCTGCAGTTCGAGCTTCCTGCATTTCTTTTCTGTTATGCTTTTGTTTTGTTTCTTGGGGTTTGCAGTTTTAAATACATCTATGTAAAATATAAGTAATATAGTTTTCAGGTTCAAGCTCTGTCATGATTTGCGGGTTTATTTGTGCCAGTGTTGTTGGGGATCTTCCAGAACTGATTGAGTTATAAATGCAGGAAAGAAATAACTGACTTTCTGACTTTCATGCTCAAAAGAATATTACAATCTCTGTAATTTCTGTGAAGGCTCTCAGTCATCCAGGTCATTGTAGTCTAAGGAGCTTGGAAAGAAAAGCATCTGGACTTCTTTGCTTGAAGACGTTTCACCTCTCATCCAAGAAGCTTCTTCAGATCTAAGGGTCAAATGGTGGAGAGTCCCAGAATCTCTGTAATCATGTTTCCATAAATTGCTGCAGAAATGAGAGAGGACTTTTGCACCACACTTGATTCAAGCATAGTGCAGTGTATTTTTATTTTTTTTTTAACAAGCGGTTAAAGTTTGAGTAGTTGATTGAAAATCGTTCTTTGGTTGTGCTTTTCATAACATTTTAAGTCTCCACTAAAGTACATTTTTAAGTACGGAGTAAATGTTGCTTTTTAACCTGATTTTGAGTGTCTCCATGTCTTAAATGTGCACTGATTCGACCTAATGTTGAATATGTGACTGCTGTCTATAGCTACAGCTCCACATAAAGCCAGTCTTTGTCTCCACACTCTTCTGTACATTTAGTGGTTTCGGACGACGCGTTTTCTGCCTAAAGATGCTTGAGGTTAACAATAAGAGGGACTGTCTCCTAGTTCTTGGCTTCAAAGGAATGCTCTATGTTGTACTTTGCATCCCACAGGAAAATGCAGCCTCTTTTACAATAGCTGTGAAAACAGAGGCCAAAAGCAGTGTAACATAAAGCCAAGTGTCATTCTCTACATATTTGTAGAAGGTTGGTCGATGGTCAGATTAGTAACCTGCTGCTGAACTCTGGTGAGCTTCAGCGTTTCAGATGTTTACAGGTTAAGGCTGTTCAATGCTTTTACTGGCATTTTAGTGATATTTCATAACATCTCATAATGCTGCAGGTTGCAAAAGTCTCTCAGCCAGTTCCATAACATGCATAGTAGTATTGTAACTTGGAGTTTCAATACCCACAATTTTACTAAATGTGTTTAGATGGAGGTATTTTAACCCACAGTTATTGCTCATTGCCTTTCTTTTGAAAATGCTTTTTTTTTTTTAAATCCTAAAGTAGGATGTAAAGAGGGTGCAACCTTCATTAAGGAGCGAGTGAATTTAAGGAACTTGGAAATCTAAATAATCTTGGCTGTGCTGAAGTTTGATCACCTAGACTGTTAGTTTATGTATGCAGGAGCTCAAATCAGATGCCTGTCCACAAATGCTTTTATTTTCTTGGCAATTTTTTTTGTCAGTTTCACTTATTTTATTTTAAGAGAGAGTGGGTGGAAAATTGCCAACAAACCACTGAGGTTTTCTCCAACACTCACTCAGCAGGGTCTCTTTGATTTCATAATACTGCTGAATCTCAAACAGTCCAGTTGCAACTTGACATTTGTTTTCTAATCCTCTCTGGTTGCATTTTAGCCAACAGATACAGAAGCAGCAGCAGCTCTGGTACCTGAATGCACCAGCTGTACCAACTATATTATTCATGACTTTCTTCCAGCAGCAAATAACTCACATTTTTTCTCCGCTTTTTTAAAAAAAAAAAGTTAAAGATATAATGAACCAACTGTGCTTTATTTATTTTTGTAATTTCACGTGTTCACTCCTCCTTGAACTGAATTTGGACGACATCTTTCTGTGATGATTAAAACAGACTGACACAATTTCTGTATCACATCTGGTATTGCTGATCCTGTGGGGACCGCAATCAAATTACTCAAGATTTGAGGAACGACAAATCCCCGTAATCTCAGTTTGTGCTTTTTAGTATGATTGGTAAGGGTTTGGGTGAGGATAGTAGTAGTTATGGTTAAGTCAAGTTTCCAGGTGAAGTGGTGGTAAAATGGCTCTACCATGTCTACCTTTCTGTTGTGCACTTGGCTGTTATTCTTAGTCCCTGTTATCTTATTCTGCCTCTGTCCTTATTTGGAGCATGTAGACAGTTTGTACAACATGTGGTTTGAGTTTCCCCATGTTTGTTTTGAAGGTCCAATAAAGAGTGTTTACCACAAGGACAACAAATGAAAGGACTCCTGATGAAGTTTATTGCACTTTAAGTTTCTCGACTGAGCCAAGGAGCTATATGTTTTAATTAGGCAAGGTCTCAGCTAGATAAAGATGCTGTAAATCAGTTTAATCTTAGGTTTGCCTCATATTCTCAAACTCTGGACTCGTAGATATTCTTGTCTCCATGGGTGTTTTATTTTTTTATTTTTTTGTTCTAGGTATAAAGACTACAGGGAACCCCCATGGTCTCCAGACGGGTACCAGTTCTCTAAACAGTACTGGTGTGTCCTGGCTGCAAGGCTCGCCTTCGTCATTCTGTTCCAGGTGCAATTTCAGTGTATTACTCAGTTTCTGTTTTTTTCTTTTTTAAAATCCTGTCTGCATTTGCAGCGATGCATATAAAAGAAACACATGCCTCTCTGTGTGTGTCTGTGTGTGTGTGTGGCCAGTCATTCCAAACTGAGTGGATCACACTCTGCTCTCATTATGGTCAGGAAAACAACCAGATGCTTCATGTTTCTCAAATGTCCTTGGACAAGTTGTTAAAGTTTCATTCTTTATTTCCATTAAGAAATAATCATGACCAGAATTCAGGCACTATACAGTTGCTCTTAAACTTTTAGTTCAATAGTTTTTTTGTGATGTGAATGGAACAGTGAGAAATCATTTTTAGTTTTACCCACTTACGTCCTTTATCCGTGATTGCTGCAATTTCCACTAAAAATCCTACTCCTATAAATAGCTGCATTAGTAAAACTATCTGAAATAGATGTAAAAATGTTGTCCTGAATAAACTCTCATACGGCATCAGAATGTAATCAAACTGTTTGTCAGAGGGAAATTGTAATTTATACGACCCTTAAGCCTAACAACAGAAAAAACAGCAGTGTTTACAGACTGAAAAGTTCGGAAAATCCTCAACAACTCACTTCAGTATTGCTGTCATCGGTCAGAACTGAGCTTCTCTCACTCATTGGTCCATGTTGGACTCTTTTCAGAATGTGTCACCCAGCACTGACAGCTCAGGTTAACAATAGACTGACGGCCCGCGCAGATAGGAAAAGGTCCGGAGTCACTTTGGTATCTGAGTACACACACTACCAGTGTTGGTCAAGTTACTTGAAAAAAGTAATCAGTAACTAATTACTAATTACTTCCCCTCAAAAGTAATCCCGTTACTTTACTGATTACTTATTTTCGAAAGTAATTAGTTACTTAGTTACTTTTTAAAAACATGATTTACAACCTGAATAGGTGATAAAGCAATAGATCTTTCAGCCCAGTTCTACTTTCTGCCTAATCCATCATA